TTCCAACAGTTATTTGACTTCTTAGAGTTTAATAGTAAAATATCAGTTAGCCGATTAAACAAGTTATATCTCTTTAATCCTTTAGCACAAAAAAAAAAGGAGAGAGAGAGGGAGGGAGTGGATGTGATAGTAAATTCAGTTTTCATTAAAAGTGCCCAATGAAGCATTTCCTGTAGTTCAGAGCAATAGCCCTGAAAAACTGGGGTAACCTCTGTCTATCATTAAAGACTTTTATGGGAACAGTCTTATGGTGCATAACTTTTAACATTGATATAGGACATCATTGAGTTTCCAACCTCTGTCCCCTGTGATAGTAAAACTAAATGGACCTTATTCAAACTCTAAAGATGAATTTAACTTTTTTATACAGAATGTTATCTGTTACCTTTCCTTTAAAAACAAATAAGATTCTTGAAATATTAGTTCTACTGCAGTTGTCAATGAAAGACAACTGGAATCAACTGAGTAAAACTTCTCATTCTGACATTTCATTGTAGGTACAGGAAAACACCACAATAAGTAGTGATAAAACCAATATTGCTTTTTTTTTTTTAATGTTTACCACTATAGAAATGCAGGTCTGAAAGACAAAAATAGCTACTTTTTTTGTCCAAGTTCCTCCGGTGTCAGGGTTTTATATTTAAAGAATACACCTCTATAACATCTAAATCTTGCAAGTATTACCCTGGTTATGCAAAATATGAAACGGACTGTATAAATAACTGTAAAAAGAAATGGTCCAACCCTCAGAAATATTGTTTCTAAAGTGAACCAACAGACTTCTATTCAAAAGCAGCAGAGAGTGGCTTTAACTTGTATTTGCACTATTTCCCATTGGAACAATAATAATTTTTCTACGTTCAAAATCAGTATATATATCAAGCTATGTGTAGTTACATCTAGAATGTTCCCGACAGATTGCAGCTAATTTAGAGTGAGTCAATATGCATACGTTAAAATTGTCCCTCCCATTATTGATATTGTTGATTATGATAATGACATTACGGTAGAACCTAAGAAGCGCCAACCAAGAGTGGGACCCCATTGTGCTAGGCACTGTACAAACAAGTTGCAAGAGACAAGTGCCTGCCCTTAAGCGCTTACAGTCCAAAGAGAGTAAACTAAAGTAACCCTTTTCCCGAGGCACAGATATTAAATGATTTAGTCATACAGGGAATCTATGGCAAAGTAAGGAGATGAAGTCACATTTCCTGTGTCCATTGCTTTAGCTGCAAGACCTGCCTTCCTCTCGTGAGCATAAGGTCAATAGTTCCCACGATGGATCTTCAGACTACTTGCCAAATCGGTGGACCTTACTATTTGCAGAAATTTTTTTTAGGTTAATGTTATATAAAAGTTCAATTCTGTTATTAAAGAAAGTCATATAACCAGGTATAAACAATATTAATCAAAGATTAATCAGCGCACTACAAAATACATAAAGGAACATTATACAATACCAAAATGATCTGGGAAAGTGGGCCTGCATCTTGATTCCCTGTTAACTACCTTTCAGAAATTCACCTCTGTTTATGTTGTTCTTGAGACAAAGAAATTCCATTCCCATAATTTACTTGTCTGCGGAGTTTCTTGCCCATGGTATCTCAGCTTAGGTGCTCAATAAGCTAAAGACATCTATAATCAAGTCATTATATCAGAAAACACCTGTGGCAACAAGTAGATCCTGATGAGCTAAACACATCTTTCAATAATCATTATGCCATCAGTTGCAGAAGACATCCGCAATAACAAGTATTCCCTCATCAACCACAAGTAGCCCCTTTCTGGACACATTTCCTAAAGGCCAACAGGTAGGCAACAGGTAGCAGTGGTAGGCAACCTATGGCACGCGTACCAAAGGTGGCATGCGAGCTGATTTTCAGTGGCACTCACACTGCCCGGGTCCTGTCCACCAGTCCGGGGAGCTCTGCATTTTAATTTAATTTTAAATGAAGCTTCTTAAACATTTTAAAAACCTTATTTACTTTACATACAACAATAGTTTAGTTATATATTATAGATTTTTAGAAAGAGACCTTCTAAAAACTGTAAAATGTATTACTGGCACGTGAAACCTTAAATTAGAGTGAATAAATGAAGACTCGGCATACCACTTCTGAAAGGTTGCCGACCCCTAGGTTAGAGTAAAGAAATTACATACAATCCATCATTTGGTGACACACAAAAGTTCAGTATAAGTTCAACCACCTAGCATATAGATACGGAGCAGTTTAGTTCAGATACAAATGATTATGGGATTCTGGTTAGTAATCTTAAGAGTAAATGTGTCTAAATTTTCCTGTTTCCCTCTAGGGAATTCCCTTTCACTTTCTCATGCAAACTCCTTCTGGAGTTCTCCACAAGTTACTGCAGTTTTTACAAACATAACGATTATTCTCTCAGTACCCATCTATTAGCCGCTTTTCTATTCAAGATTTGGGCATATGACTCAATTTTTGTTTCGTACCTCCTGTGTGTCAGGACTTTGAAACTTGAAATTATATTCACCTGTTGCCCTTTATTCACTGTTTTGGTAATTTTCTCAAAGCATGCTGAACAACATAACCTTTGTAAAACTAATTAATCCTACAGTGTTAAGCACATTTAAAACATTGGTCTCATCCCAGACTTAAAAAAGCCTTTATGGTAAAACCCTAATTGTGAATTTTAAATGCGGGGGAGGGGAATCATGTACATTATTTTGAGATCCTATTTGAATCTTTGAAGCAAGGGCTCTGAGATGGCTACTCTGATGTTGGAAAACAGATAAGGGGGCTCAGTGAACTGACTGTATCTTTGCTGCCCTTCTTGAGACACTGTCTTTGCTAAGAGTATTTCTGCCCATTTCCTTTCCCTGTAGACCTTAGCTTTGAGGGAGCTGTGGCGGCGTATGCACACCCCATCTCCCTTTGGGGTAGATCGGGGTTGCGCTGACACCACAGATACAGTCTACAAGATTGTGCTGGGTCTCACCATGGTGCGGCCCAATGGCCAGAGTCAGAGCGGTGGCCCTTGGGTTGTGGGCTGCAAGGCCTAATGGCCCAAGACAATATGGCCACCCATAAGCACAGGGCAATGTGGCCTAGTGGCCGGGATCAATATATAATCCCTCGAGTGCAGGGCAGCATGGCATAATGGCCAAATCCAGAGGCTGTCCCCAAAGAGGATGATGGCCAGGGTAGGGGGGGTCCGGGCTCACCCAACACCACCGAGTCCCAACCCAAGGCCTCAACAGTGGCAGAGTGGTCCACCACTGGGTCAGCGGGGAATCCAACCACAACACGCTGACCACACATGGATGGAAGATACCACTCCCTCCAGCTCCCTGCACTGCCTACCGGGCTTCCTGAAGCTGCAGTCTGTAGGACACTGGGGTCTTTGGGCTCCTTGGCGCAGGTAACTCCCTAGGACTCTGACTCAAGCCAGTAGGCAACAGGTCTCCGGTCTATGTCTCAGGATGTCTGGCTCCTGCAGACAAGGACTGTAACAACTCTTGGGTTGGAGCCTCCACCAAACGTCCTTCTTCCTAGGCAGTCAGCCCAGACTGAGCTGGGCTGCTCTCCTTTATATTAGCACAGCAGTTGGAACATTAACAGCACAGTCTGCGGGGCAGGACTTCCTCCACCCATAGTGTGCAATTAACCCTTTCCAGGCTAGTGTGGGGTATGCATACCCTGTCGCAGGAGCTCAAAAACTATGGTTCCTTAGCAGCCCTGAAATCTGTTGCCACCACCTGCAACCCAGGACCATAGGCACTAGAACAATTGAGAGTGAGAAACACCTTATCACACTAACTTCTTTAAAAAAAAACATGTCTAGCTGAGAACAGCCTTTTGTCAATGTATAGTATGTAAAAGTCTCTACATGGAAGTCCAAGAATAAAAGTACCTTCTAGCGGAAAAAATTCCTCATTTCAGACTGCTGTTTAATTTTCTTCAAGGAGACTGTTTTTGAACACTTAAATTTTAGTTGAATTTATTTAGACTGCTTGATGTGTGTTAATAAATATAAAATGGTCTGAAGGAAGTATATGTTGTTGATATGAGTGTTGATAGGATTATGAGATCTCTCAAAGTAAGAATAGCTTGTTTACTAGTGCTGTTTATATGACTCAAGCATTTGATAGAATGGAATTCACTTATCTATAACCTTTCTAGTTAAGCTTGCACCTTCTTTAAATAATGTCTGTAGTTGCAATCAATGCTTTGTGTAAAGTAGTGTAAGATACAACTATAGTACATTCTTGATTAGAAAAATGTCACTCTGTTTGTTGTCTGCATCAGCATCCCATCAGCTAAATATAAAGAGTTACAATGAATGCATGGATGGTTGGAATCAAATGTGGCTTATGTGGCTTATAAACTAGAAATATGTAAATTTGTAGTCCTCCCACTGTTCTAAGTTAAGTATAGATTTAAACAGTGACCTAATAGGAATCAAAATAGCTTAAATCAAAAACTGGACTGTTGACAACTTCAAAGAAATTTGATAGGCAATTTGAAGTATATGAATTAAAATGTGGACTTCAAACTTGTCCCTAAGTATATCCTCATAAATATCTTGTGTGAAACAACATTTTAAAAGTGAAGACTTTCAAAGTTTTATTCTATGGAACATTCAGTCCAGAAGCTGCGGGATAAAAGGACACTATCAGAGGTTTTTTTCTTTTTCGTTTTCTTTCTCTTTTCTTTTCCTTCTTTTTTTTTCAGCTGTTCTTGCTGCTTCTAGTTCATAAGGAAAATGCAGGGAAATATATAGAACATGTGATGGTTTTCAAATAAATGACTGGGTTAGAGAAATAAGAATGTTGCCATTTAGTGTTTCACTTAATGTTTTAATTAACTCTTTGGGGCAAGAACTGTCTATTACTCTGTGGTTATACAGTGCTTAATGCAATAGAGTCATGATCCTGGTTGTGGCCTCAGAGCAATATTGTAATATAAATAATAATAAATGAATAATAATGATAATGATCAAATAAGTCATAATCTCCTTTTCAGCTGTCAGTAGATGCCCGGCTAGAGATGACTAATAAGGCTATTAAAGCAATGCAACAGGCCATTGAGAAACCAAGAAAAAAGAACTCTGAAGATGGTATGGACGATGCTGGAAGCACGCCTGTCACTTATGAGAAAGCTCTGAATCATCTGCAGCAGTCTCTTGCTCATCTGGAAACGCTCAATCATAGGTTTATCACTTATCTGAAAAACAGTGACCAGGTAATGAGAAATTACACACAACAAATAAAATCAAGTATATTCCAGCAGCAGCGTATATTTGCCTTCTATCTCTATTCACTTTCAAATTACTACAATTGATGTTAGAGGTTTGGACTCGATAGGATTTCTAAATTGCTGAATATGCCTTCTTTCTAAATTTCTAAATATGCCTTCTTATTGTAGATCCGTGATTAACTCTGAGACTTGAATATGTTTCAACATAAATTGTAATAATTTAATACAAAAGGAGCAGTTCTCTTTTGCCTGAACAAAAGGGCAGGGTGGGGGTTCAATGTAAAGTTCATAGGTGGAACTTGTGCAAGGTTTCAGAGTTTATATTGATATAAAATGCAGTGAGACATTTCTGTATCAATTAATTGGTAAGCTTTATTGAGCTTCTGTACTATTACAGGTATGTCCCTGGAAAAAAAATAATTCACTAGACTGCTTTATCTTTCATACATACATCACTGTGTTCAGGGAACTCCCCTCCCCTCCGCCCCCATTTTTATAAAGTAATATGCACCAAATCAGCATTGTTTTGAGGAGCATGAATCAAATTAAAATCTCTATTATTTTATGAAGTCTTCAATTTTCCACAATGCAATACATGGTTTAGTTTTACATACATTTTTGCTTGTAAAATAAAACACACTTGAGAAAATAAGTTGCTATTGCTAGTAAAGTTCCTCTACACAAATGTGAGATTATCAATGATACTCATAAAAAGTATTTTGAGTTATAAGGAAACCTGGTTACTAATCAGTTATTTGTTTTAAATGTTACCATGAGCAATAATGGTGGAAAGAATTACTTCTGTCCTTTTATTATGGTATATTTTGGTTTTGTTGACTTGTTCTTTGAAGGTGTTCAGAAATTTCCCTTTGCCAGTCTTTTCTGCTTTTTGGTAAATTTTGAGATACTGAGCCATGCATATCTGTAAGTAAAGATCATCCTATCTCATGAGTTTTAAAATGTGTATTTTCAGGAAATACTACAGAAGTATGGCCACTTATATGATTTATCCAGGTCAGAGAAGGAAAAAATCCATGACCAGGCAGTAGCTATGTGTATAGATGGTCAGCCTCTAGACATGATACAGCAGTTGATGGAAGTGGCTGTCGGAGATCTGGAAGTCTCCCCCAGAGATATAGTACAATGCGCTATAAACAAAATTGTATTTGCATTAAGGTAAGTTAAATTTCTACAATTATTAAAAATAAAAATTTCTTTCTTATTTCTTTGTGTTCCAGGATGCTTGGAATTCTGCAGGGCCTGAAGAAATAGCAGATATTAGAGAAGTTTATGTTGATGTTTATATTTACTTTATAATTCCATGCTTGTAGAATTCATTGTGGTATACAGGAGACTGAGCATGGACTTAACCTTTTTTCGTAAATTTGCTCTTATGCCATGGGTCCAATTTTTAGAAATTTGCTTATAAGATATACCCACTATATACACCTGCTGTGTGTCTTTGGAGTGATTACAATGAATTGTGCCTTTGTTAAATAAAGAGAGAATGGAAAGTTCCCTTACATAGAATGGATGTTGGGAGCAGGTTGTGGGGTCCAAAAGGAGGAATTTCCTGTGTTATAGGGATGTTTTACATATGGATTGGGCTATATGGACCTGGGAGCTCTTTCGTGCTGGAACTGCAGAACCTGTAGGTACCAAATTAAGGCCTATGTTTTCAAAATGACTGATTTAGGGTTCCTCAATTTTTGGGTGTCCAGCTTTAAAGGAGCCTTATTTCCTGATGGTGGATGGGTGCTCATCACTGTGTGAAAATCAGACCCTATGGTTATGTCTAGTCGGATATCCCATATTATTAGTTACTTTTGAAAATTTAGGCTTTCAAGATTTATTTTTTGTCTTTTATGTAGTGTTGGTCTGTTTGATTGTACTGAATTGAAAAGTAATTGTCCTCAGAGTCCTAATCTGAATAGAGGGACCTTGAGTTGAATGCACAATGAGTAGTTGGGTGAGCACTTACCTTTTTTTGAAGGGCATACATTATTACACTTTATCATTTATTTGCAGGGAGTAGAAATGGACTGTTGTAAGAAAGAAATTGAGTAAAGGAAGAAGGAAACTGATAGGGAGGGAGATAGAAAGGAGAAGAATAAGAATGGGAAAAACATAATGTGTTGGAACAATGAAGTTGGGTAGCTGATAAGTTGTTAGGGGTAAGTGAGCAATGGATTATCAGGAAACAATCACAAGTGACCAAGTTTCAGAGGTCTGTAAATGATGTTAGAGGCTGTGAACACTTCTCCTGGGTGATGCCCCTAAGCAGAAGGGAGAGTGGGAGCTAATGAACGCAGTTCTCCAGATGAGTCCATTCAGTTCCCGGGAACTGAAAGCCTTGATTTACCCCTGCAAACCTTGCTATAGCTAGTGTTGGCTGATTTGGGAAAGGAGCTTCAAAGGTTTGGGTATTTCCTTCTTGGAGATCATCCTAGCTGTTGCTTCTACTCCCATTTGGCAGGAGGGAAGCAAAGGCAACTTTAGTGCCCACATCAGAAAATCTGGGCCCATATGTCCCTAGATTGTGATATGTAAAAAGACAGGTGAAAAAGCTGTGAAGTACATCCTTGTGCAACATAGAATGTGCATATCGACCTAAGTACTGAAGAGGGTTACAAGTGTATAAATAGCTTCTCTCTGAACATAGAGAGCATTTTAAAGAAAGCTTGTTGCCTGGCATCTTTTTAGCCTGCTGACATTGGTGTCATTGAAGTGAGTGAAATTGGATGTGTCTCAGTCATGCACCAGCACATTAACATTCAAGCTAGTGCATGACGCAAATCGAAACTTACTAACCACAACATTTTCTGTGACTCGTGTGCATTTCAAGGTTCAGTGGGGAAAAAAGTGTAATTATAAAAAAAAAATCCTTGCTGCCTGCAAGGACTGCCAAGTTAAGGAACTCAATAAGTGTAACTTGCTTAAAAAAAACTCCTAAGGTTTTTTTGTATTGAAACTTCTTGGGCTTATTAGGGATTGTACATTTGAATTAATAGAAATCAAAGAAATGTAGGACCGGAAGGGACCTTGATAGCTCATCTAGTCCAGTCCCCTGAACTGAGACAGGACTAAGTATTATCTAGGCCATCCCTGACAGGTGTTTGTCTAACCTGTTCCTAAAAGCCTCCAATGACAAAGATTCCACAACCTCCTAGAGAATTTGTTCCAGTGTTTAACTACACTTACAGTTAGGAACGTTTTCCTAATGTTTAACCTAAATTTTCCTTGCTGCAATTTTAACTCATTGCTTTTTCTCCTGTCCTCAGTGGTTAAGGAGAACAATTTATCACCCTCATGCTTGTAACAATCTTTTATATGTTTGATGACTGTTACCATAGATTCACAGATTCTAGGACTGGAAGGGACCTCGAGAGGTCATCAAGTCCAGTCCCCTGCCCTCATGGCAGGACCAAATACTGTCTAGACCATCCCTGATAGACATTTATCTAACCTACTATTAATATTTCCAGAGATGGAGATTCCACAACCTCCCTAGGCAGTTTATTCCATTGTTAAACCACCCTGACAGTTAGGAACTTTTTCCTAATGTCCAACCTAAACCTCCCTTGCTGCAGTTTAAGCCCATTGCTTCTTCTTCTATCCTTAGAGGCTAAGGTGAACAAGTTTTCTCCCTCCTCCTTATGACACCCTTTTAGATACCTGAAAACTGCTATTATGTCCCCTCTCTGTCTTCTCTTTTCCAAACTAAACAAACCCAATTCCTTCAGCCTTCCTTCATAGGTCATGTTCTCAAGACCTTTAATCATTCTTGTTGCTCTTCTCTGGACCCTCTCCAATTTCTCCACATCTTTCTTGAAATGCGGTGCCCAGCACTGGACACAATACTCCAGTTGAGGCCTAACCAGCGCAGAGTAGAGCGGAAGAATGACTTCTCGTGTCTTGCTCACAACACCCCTGTTAATACATCCCAGAATCATGTTTGCTTTTTTTGCAACAGCATCACACTGTTGACTCATATTTAGCGTGTGGTCAACTATAACCCTAGATCCCTTTCTGCCATACTCCTTCCTAGACAGTCTCTTCCCATTCTGTATGTGTGAAACTGATTTTTTCCTTCCTAAGTGGAGCACTTTGCATTTGTCTTTGTTAAACTTCATCCTGTTTACCTCAGACCATTTCTCCAATTTGTCCAGATCATTTTGAATTATTACCCTGTTCTCCAAAGCAGTTGCAATTCCTCCCCGTTTGG